GTCGATAAAAATGATCTCTCGCATGTCATCGTTCATGTTCGATAGATAAACTTACGTTTCACGCAGATTGGCAAGATATACTTTATTCTCTTTGTAAGTTAACGAGCGGCTGTAATTCTTGATTAACTATCGCAAGATGGAATTTCCACCTTCACTGGAAATATGGATTGAATATTGCGGGATAATAAAAAAAGGAGTTTTATCAATTGACATTATCAAACGCGAGCGAGTGATACGCGAGAGAAATTAATTTATTCTGACGTATACCGTAAGAAAAGAGTTTTTCACGGCTTCTCGTTTTTAACGTCGTAACTCAATACAGCTGCAGCAAGGAAATAGGAGCCTTAATGGCGGGAGTCTACGTGAAATTAATTGAAGAATACAGCTCTGTCGTCTATTTGCGGCCTCGTAAGCTCAGTTTACAAAACGACTTTTATTCCGCTCCGATACGAAGCCCGATGGCTCGCGCGCGCACCCCGTTCCGTCAGTCAGCCCCGTTACGTCTGATAATGCAATCGTCACCGCGTTGCGAGTCGTCCGCGGCATGTGCAGAAATAGCCGGTGGCATATGATCGACCCTTGGTATACACACTTGCCGCATTTGCTCTCGTTCGCTCGCAGAAACGCGTACATCAGATGCGGGGACGCGTAATAAACGCGCTGGCGCGCGTCTCGACGGAGGCGGAGAAACGGAATCGCGAATTCACTATTCACGCAGACCGCGATAGCGGCCGTCCGTAAATGACTGAGAAGCTGAGAGAACGAGAAAGGGAAAGAGAGAGAAAGGGGGTGAGGTGAGGGTCAAGACGGAGAGGACGAGTGTGAAAGACCGACGTTGATGCGAGCGCGAGCGGGTGTGTGTTAGATATTTTATGAAACAGACACAAAAGAAATATGTACGGAGAGGCTCGCCGGGGATGGAGATTTTCCAGGGAGAGAGAATAGGGAGAGCTGCTTGCCTCTCGTCTGAGAGAAACCCCGTCTTCGCAATGTGAAGAAATGATAGGCAGATATTAACGTGCGACTGGAGAAATATGACGGCTTGCGGATTTGATTCGAATGAGGGAGAAGTGGAGCAACTATTTTAAAGGTGAATCGACGCCGAATCACCGGAATTCAGCCAAGAGTGTTCACTTTCGTACGATAAAATAAAAGAAAAAATAGATAAGAATGAATTCTCTAGTTATGTATCACATAATAATCGTACGAATTAATTTCTACTTATTTTACTGCAGCGAGAATCGCAATTCTGTTTGTTTTGCGAAAGGAAGGGAAGAGTTAGGACACAGGCAATTACAAAGCGCGAGGAATCTTCTGTCTGCGCGCGGCAGAATAGACGAGACAACGTGTATAAATAGAACTCGCGCGAGGTGAGAAGAGAGAAGTGCATGGTGTGTGTGCGTATGACACCGTTAACGGCGCGTATATACGCGTAGGCGATTCCGCGCGTGTATCTGTACGCGAGAGGGAGAGAGTAAGAGAGAGGAGGGGGGGGGAGGGGTGAGAGAGAAAGATCCGCGACCGCCCCAGTTGAGGCATTGTACCGCGCGCGGCTACCGGAGATAAGGCATGAAATTAAATTCGACGGAATGTGGGTCGTCGCGCCGCACAGCTCCTTTCGCCACCCTCCACGTCACGTCCTGTCTGAACAACGCGTTGAGAGATACGTGCCTCACCTACATGCAAATGCCTTAATAGCCACACATAGTGACTCTTCGAACTGACATGCATATCTACACGCTGACGCATGGCGTGTTCTACAGACCTGAAATCACTTTTCTCATCTACGGATTGTTTGACTAACATAACTTGGGATTGATTTTTTTTTCTTCATCCCGCCGCGTCCGATGTATATGCTTGATATACGGATTTTAAACTGAGTTCAATTTTACGGCTGCTCGTTTATTTCTTCAATTATTTTGTCCGTTTATTTTCATTTTTTCACGAAAATCGTAAATCTTATAGTTGTTTCGCTATGAGAGTGTAGTGTTAAATAATATACATTGCAACAGTAATTTTTTGTAATGTGCAATCTAAATTCCGAACTCAAAGATGAAGCTAGGCACCACGAAGCATTTTTTCGGTACTTTATTCTAAGGAAAAAATATACAGTGGATCTTTATGAAATTTTTTACATTGATAGATTTATCGATTTATCGGTGAATGTTAAAATAAATGATAGTTCAATAGATCGAGGATCTTTGTATAGTTTGGAAGATTTAGAAGTCAATCTTTGACGTTCGTGTTTGGTAGTTCAAACTAACTAGGTTATCATCGGCATTATCTATTTCTATATTACAAACAGTCGTGATGTATGAGTGATGTGATGTATCTAGGCGTGATGGATTCTTATGGCAAACGTCTCTTTCAGAGAATACAGATGTTACATTTATAATAGTCAATATATGTATCGTGCGCGCGTTTCCTCGCCGACGAGCGTTTCAATGCAGCCGATTCCCTGATTTAGCGAAGTCGTCCAATTGAAATGACGTATCCTCGCTATTGTGAGACATCGCCTTATTGTATATAACGGCGAAACAATTTCCTTTATGCAGAACTTCCATTTTCAATATTTTTCTCTTTTTTTCAGAAGCGGAAAGCTGAGATGAAACTGTCGTATCCGAGCTTTTAACGCTTTTTACCGGCCGTTTAACGCCCATTCACGAGGCTCGCGGAATGATCGCGATCGCTGCGAAAATACCGGAAACGTGTTTCCCGAAAAAAAAGCTGGAACACTGTGTTGCAGATAACTGGATGTTGCATGATGTACTGTCGGGCCGAAAACAGATAGTTTCGAAAATACATGTGTATTCTACTCTATAGGCAATGTGCTCTAAAATAGATTTTCTCTTTTAAAAACTTGCTTTCCAATCGCAGCTGAAAATAAATAATGTAATGCCTTGTTCTTTGCTTAATTTTAAGCAAACTTTATTTTAACAAAATTTTTAGTATTGTATGTCCAGAAATTTTCAAAAGAAAAGAAAACAATAAATAAGCAAGCGCGAACTGTTTTTAAGAGTGTTACAATTTTGTCTCGGAGAAAATATGATGTTTTCTATCATATCTTGGCTAAAAAAAAATTGATTTCGAATAATTAAAAAATTCAAAGATAAAAAAAAGCGCAGAAAACTCTTGGAATCCCCTGTGGGAGATTTATTAAAATCAAGATCAGAGATCCCACTATAGTTAATTAAGTCGCGGATCGTCTTTGATCGCTTGCACATACGCATCTGCATCACTGCATGCTCGTTACATTAGGCACCGTGCCATACACGTTCTATTGGTCGGATATTAGTCGGCTAAGAGCTTTCGTTTAATTGAAATTTACGCGTGAGCTGATATCGCGTAATCGCGCGATCGACCATTGCGGCGTCGCCGTAATGCGAGCGGCCGAGCGTGAGGCGACAGAGAGACTCACGGATTTTTATTCGGGCGCGTAAACAGGCGCGTTTAACTCGCACTCGTATTAATTAAAAACGAGAGGATTAATTTAGTTTTGCAATTGAGCCAGATTTCGCGCGCGGCGGATGTTAATCCAGGAACATTCTTTAATGTAGGACGCGAAATAACCGCGGAGGACATGTACGGGCGGACCGAATTTTCGTCCGCTCGATTTTAGCG